CCGGGACCCTGGCCCCCCCCCCCCCGTCGCCATGGTTACGGGACGGTGTTTGGCTGCCTCCAGTCAGGCCTTGGGACGGGTGCTTAATGTGTAGACACGCAAACATACATATATATGTACATGTAAGGTCTATATATGTGTAAATAGATGTGTGTGTATATATGTGTATATGTATATATATATATGTGCACAGGCACGATTTAAATACATAAACACAGTTTTAAAGAGCCCCCACCCACCGGTTACTGCCGTTTTGCAGGCAGCTCCTTAAACCCCCTGTTTTCACCTCAAAACAGGGGCCCAGCTGCCTGCTGGTTTCATACAGTGCCCTCTTAGGATCTGGATCGTCCACCCTTGACAGGGCCCCGTGCTTCTGCTGATCCACACCGAGAAGGACACATCTTGTATTCAGAGCGGTGTTTTTCCACCCTCAGATTTTTAAGACCCCATTTTTCACCCAAGAACAGCCTTTTTGAGGGAGATTTTGCACAGCCCTTGGGATACATAAAGAAAACCCTCCCTCGGGAGGTGTATCTCCCATCTCTGCCTCTCAGCTCCTCTTTTGTTTCCTATCTTCTCTGACATAGATTTTTTCCCCAATTTAATTACTAATTTTAAATAACTTAGAGCCAAGAAGTCTGCCTAATTAAAACAGCAGGCTTAAGTCAACAAAATGCTTCAAGTGAAAATTTTGTTAGGTGCTACGCTTGCTGACTTGCTTGGCTGGGGGTCACTGAAGTGTAGTAGCATAAGCATAGGAAGCGACAAACTGTTTCCAAAACATCTTAATTTAGGAAAACCACCTGTAATGCCAGCCTGTGAATTACCACATGGCATCAGTGACACCTTCAAGAGACAGTATGGATACTGGGCGAGGCACAGCACCCGTATCGTGTGAGCTGGGGTATGACGTTAACCTCATAGTCGGGTCACAGTTTGTGAGCAGCAACCGAGCTCAGCACATCTGGGCTTATTTCAAGGCATGCAAACAAAAAATGATACAGAGACCCTTTCACTGTACCCTCCCGTACTGTAAATCCTTTGGCTGTCATCAAGAAGAAAAAAGCTGTAGGAGTTTTAATACAAGCTTACATCTTAGTACAGCTGCTGCTAATGTAAGCAGCTTTGTACCTACAATAAATATATATACACACCTGACGTAATTTGTCTAAGCAATCAAAAGGTGGATCCAAGTTACCATCTTCTGTTTCATCTGAGTTGAAAGGTTTTCCACTTAATGTTGTCTAAATTAAGACTTTACTGTTCTTATAACCTGCTTGCAGTAATGGGAACTGGCATCTTCATGTAGCTTGTTTGCTCTTGAGGAAATAAAAGCTCTAGGAAAAAAAAAGTATTTGTCTCTAGAGCAAGTAATTTATGGTTACCTTTATGTGTACCACACAGGTCCCACCCAACCCTGCGCCGCCTCAACGGAGGTGTCAGTCATACATATAAGATGTTGTAGACAAAAGAAATTTCCATTTAACGTACATGGACTCATTGTTGTTTATCCAGCTTTTGCAGAGAAATTACTCTGAACTGTGTTTAAAGCAAGAAGGTAGAGTTTTTTCCCCACAAGCACAAAAGATGCTGAATATGTTAATTTGAGCTTTTTAATGTATATACAAATGTTTTAGACCAGTCACAATTTCATTGAGTATATACTGTATTTACAAAAATTACAATAATTTAGTCAAACAGTAAACCTGAACATTGATAACCTCTGTCACTACCAGATATGACAAGAAATTTTTTTTTCTTTAGTTAACTATTTTGATATACATACGTCCTAATACTTTCATGCATCCATAAAAACATCAGGGATGGAAGTAATCAAAGCTTAAGTGGGGTAGGGTTTCTTTTGGTAGATAAAGTTTAATGATGGATTTGTATTTTGTGAATGTATGAGTATCCAGAGTTATGTGCTGTGACAAACTCGATACAAAGCTAATGTAGTTTTCATTATTAAAAAAGAACATTATAGTAATGAGATCCTTTTTATTATATAGGCATAGGTCACGATATCTACAAATGTGAATGAGAAACAATAAACCAACAAATCACAGGAACATGATTCACATTCCAGTTATCTCTTTAAATAAGACAAGCACATACTGGATCAAAACATTAATAAATAACATCCAGTTTGTTACTATTATCTTAAGGTCTTTTATATAAAAGGAGACCTATGTGTTGGTTTCACATTTTCAATTAATGGTAGGAAATAATGGACCAATACAACAAAAGGATGACTTTTATACAGAAAGCAATGTACTTTGACACACTGTCTTTGCAGTAAAAGTTTTGCCACTTGAAAATGTAAGTGCAACAACAAGTGGATTGTCTTTAAAAACCACCAGCTTTAAAGGCTCGCATCAGATGGCAACCTATTCCTTAAGCAGTAAATACAAATTATTTCCTGCCCATCGTCTGAATATACCTGCCTTTTCAAAGCTCAAATACAGATACAACATGTTGGTAAATGAACTTCTAGCTTTAGTTATTCTACAAAAGGAGAATGCCAGAATTTGGGGTGAAGAACGTAACTTGCTTTTTAACTAGGAAAGATGCTTCAGCTTTAGCATCAGAGATATTTCCTTGTGATATTATTGCTTTGGTCCGATATAAGCTTTTTAAGATAATCAATTTTCACTGTATTTACCTCAAAAATCAGACCCAGCCCACAGATGTCTACATGACAGCTTGCACACTGTGGTCTGAAAAGTGAAGTTGCAACAGGTGGCATTCTGCCAAGAACCTTTGCCAAGTGCTCTGGAGCTGATAAAGGCATAGAGGTGGCACAAGTGGGCTGGAAAAAAGTCTCTTCTGAATCTTCAGGAGGGGAAGTGTTACCTATAGACTGGGAAGCTTCTAAAACTTTGCAGCAGAGTTTTAGTTTGTTGATACTTCTTTTGTTTGATGGTGTCAAGCTATCGATGAGAACTTCTTGGGAAATGCAGTACATGCTCATTCCTCACTTTTACAAATGTGGATTTACCCCTCCCCCCCCCAATTCCCTATTCCCCCAGAACTGCTGTTTAACAAACCAACCAGGTGCTGTTTAACATCAATGCTTTAAAAGACACTTGCTCCATTATGCTGAGGAATTTCTTCTGCACATTTCACTGCTGGACTGTGAGGTGACGTATAGCACTAATGCGTAAAGCAGCAGTCAGCTGCCACACTGATCTATCCCAGGATTCAGCTTTGTCTCTATTCAGACATACTATACTATATGAGCAATTAAGCAGCAAATGTTGACGGTTAGAAGTGTGCATAAACCACATCTGAGCACTTAAATTTGATAAAGTTTGATCCAAACCTAGGAAGAAAGTACATCGAAGTTTGGGCTTCACCACCAGTTACTGAACTCAACTGAAGTGTTGCCATATCACGTATCACAAAAAAAAAAAAAAAAAAAAAAAAAGGTAGGAAATTCACCAGCTATACTGTGTCAAAGAGAGAACAATACCACCTTTTCCCAGAACGTGTTCTCTCTCGCCCCACTTGAACCCAAAGAAAAATATAAAAGTTACAAGAAACTGTAACCCCAGGGCTCTCACAAAGCAAGCCGGGTGGCTAGAGTTCCTCTGAGCTCAGGATTCTTGATACAAGTATAAGGAAACCTTTCTCTTGTTCTTCATGATAAGTATTAGGCTCTTAGTTTTCTGAAACTTCTGAATTTCCAGACAGAGTTTGGTTGATCTGTGACATTTGTGACAAGAGACTATATTAAGCACTAGCACAGGTCTGTAGTGGAGACTGAGAAAATACCTAATACAAGGGTTTTTGTCCTTGGTTTTCAAATTCTGACCAGGCATCATTTAGCTCCATAAATATCATCTTTGCATATTGTTCATATGGCTGCCCAGTGGCCTGGAATAAAAATAGAAAGAGGGATATCACATCTACTAAATCAGACTACAGAAAGTTGACATTTGAGCAGCTAGATTCTCAAGCAGTCATTGTTCACTTTTCACGAATGGTTTTCCCTTATTCTTTGACAAGAATAAGCTGCTGTTGAGGGCCGCTTACCTTGTTTACAGCTTAGGAATTTCTTCTGCTCCTCAGAGCTGATAACCCCCCAAGTGTGATAAAGCACTGCAGTCCCAAGGGCAAAAAGGAAAGAGCTAACACAGTTCCTTGATAAAAGCAGAGTTCCTGCAAACCTCTGGGAAGCCCACATCTTCTCACGTCTTGCCCGCTGCCCTGAAACTCTTGGGGCCTCCATTTCCTTAAAAGTGGAAGCCTCATCACCATAGGGTTTCCCTGATGGCATCGTTGCACTCTGGTTGGCGAGTGTAAGCAGCAAGACCACAAGCCACAAGGTGGATAATCAGACAACCAGATTCTTCCATTTTAGAAGTTTGGTTTCAAGACCCTTGTCCTTTTGTATGGCTTTGCCACACCCTCGTCTCCTTTAGCAGGCACAATATTCTGGACTGTTGTTCACCACCAGTATGGCTTAGAGTCAAAGTGAGGGTGACAAAAGCTGAAGATCTGAACCTCTGTTGCTTGGAGCGGTGTGCACCAAGCAGTCTTGGGGCTGGGAGTAGTTAGAGTTCTTACCTTTCAGAAACTGGCAAAAATCTTGAACTACTACTTTCTACAAAGCTGTCTGCGCCAATAAATTAAGCAATCGCATTCAACACTTTATAGTTAAGAGAACAATGGCAATTTCTGAACAACGTGAAACTAGGAAAACCTTACCTTGTCAGGATGAACAACAAGCACTGCCCGCCGGTAAACCTTCTTCACTTGCTCTGGCGTTACAAGATCTGCCATACTAACAGGTTTCCACTTGGTCTCCCCTGCCCATAAGACTGTATGCATTGTAGACAGCAGGGCTCTTATATTTCTCTCCTTTCCTTCAATCCATTCCAGGACCTGGGGAGAAGAACATGAGTCTCAATTTATGCCTTACATTAGATATTCCTGTAGGAAAAAGTTTCTTCATTTGAATAGCAATGACTGCAAAGAGCTTCTTACATTTCTTTCTAAGCTTCAGAAAACCTTTGGAAGATACTTGTCAGTCTCTACTTTGTCATTAATTTTTATGTCACTGCTTGAAAATTAAGACACACCTTGAGCAACATCCCTGCTAAAAATACCGAGCTGGTAACGCTTATGAACAGTCATTAGATGGAATAATCAAAAGATAAATGAAACGTTTAACTGTGCAGCTCTTTAGCAAGCTTAATTGCTTACCTAAAGTAAGGTTTTAACTTATGGAAAGCATGTGCCAGGTTAAAACCTTTCTAGAAGGTTAAAAAAAATTCACTCTAGATATTTTCTAGAAGTTTGCTTGGCTTTTGCTTGGGCTTTTCCTCTCAGATCTGTATCCTTCTGCAATTATAATTTGTGGCTTCATATTTCAAATGTAGAGCAGGACAGACTGAATTTCCTTCCCTTCATAATAGATCTGTAGTTTGGCAATTTATTGAGGACAGATGAGAGAATTCCAAAGCAGGCAAGATTAATGAGACAGAGGATTAGTTCAATTAGCTATGCCTACTAATCAGGGCTGGAGTGATGTGGAAGACCAGCAGCCCTGACAGTAACACTGAGCAAGCCACTGTTCGCCGCAGTCTGGTTTAGGACAGAAATGTAACCTTGGAGTTTTAACTATTCCAAAGGATGTTCACATCTCCAGGGAAGGCATGAGAATTTATTATATGAACAAACAGCAGGAAGTTCTCACTTTCTACCCCAAGGCAATCTCATCATGGGGAGAACATCCCTCATTTCACCAAAACCTGGGTTTGGCCGAAGGACTGGCAGAGATGGTCGCTGCTCTTTTATCTGGTTTATTTGTCAGAAGCTATTTCAGAACAGAGTTTTAACAAACTTACCACTTTTTTTCTGAGTAGTATCTCTCATTCTGACAAGGTAGTGGAGATGCTTCCAGATATTCCCCAACAC